GGAATTCGCCAGCTACGACGTTCCTTGGCCTTCAGTGGAGCACAAATGGATCATGACGACCTGCGTACTGATCTTTACCCTGGGCTCTGCATAGGAAGCACTGAGCAGGTCACTGAAAGATGAAGAGGGCGTGGCCAGGCACTTCATTTTGACATGACGTAAGATCCGTTTTGTGGCATATTTACATCTAAGATAGTGATCATCTTGCCTTGTGCTGCATAAGCCCCGATTCACAAATGTTCCAAAACGGCGATCGGCGATCAAAAGCGCAACCGCCGAAACGTTGGAATATAGTGCGTAGCCACGCCCCTTCCATCACCAGGATATGGATGTATGTTGTAGCATTTGCTCGCTATTCTCCTAGGTCCTCATGGGAATTAGGCGACTCCTCACTTCCTGAAACTGGTAAGTTTGTGGAGTTTGAGGCCCGAGTCTGCCATTTATCACAAGATTTGATAGACTGCGGGTCGATTCGACTGGGCGGGCCCAATCCAAGGATCGCGCTAAAGATAACAACCCTACACATCACGTGTATCTACTAAGAAACCCAAAAACAGCATTTGTCATAGTTCATGTCCATTTTACTCCGCGATTCAATTCATCTTATGTTTTTGTTTTCAGCTGTACGTCTATTGGCACTGGTACTGGCATGTGGCAAGTCTCTGGGGATCAGCCGTGAAAGTACGCTTGGGCCAAGTCGTGCGCAATGCCAACAATCGGTCCAGACGGGACAAACCAAGGATTCCAAAGGAGGATATGAGCTTTTTGCAACCGCTTGATGTCGAGAAATTGCAGAATTCAACAGCGATCCCGAACGGTTCAGTGGTGAAGTCGGTGAAGTCGCAGAGGAGAGGGACCCTGATTCGGGAGGACACCAATGTGTCGCAAATATTCGAAGAAGTTGAAGCTGAAGTGAAAATGAATGGCAAACTGGCAAACGGCTCGGTAAAGAAAACCGTCACGCTGCCGCCGACGGAGCCACCAAAGCCGAAGGGACTGCTGGACGTGCCAGCAACGTCGAAGACGGTTCGAGCCAGATATCCCCAAGAACCGCCGGTAAAGCGGGCGATGGCCAAGCGCGAGAAGGAGGAAACCGTCGCGAAGCGTGAGAAGGAGGAAACGAATGCCGAACGAACGAATGCGAAACCGAATGTAGCAACGAGACGAGCACTGTTCAAGCAGAAAGGCAGGTCCACCAGAGAAGTTTCTACGGAACTAGAACCACTCCAGACGCAAACCAAACGCCGACTGAGCACCAGCCCAACGTCTGGGCCCGAGGAGACCTCCATCGCGCTGCGTCCAGTGTGAAGGAGGAACCAAAACGGACCAAACCGAATGGAGTCCTCCCGAACAAAAAGAGGTCCGAGCGACGACGTTCGACTGTGACGATCAACTCCGAGCCACTGATCATTCCGCCGCCGTCGAATTCAGAAGATGGCACCACGCCTAGCCCTCCTCCACCGCCAATTTACGCGACGCGGTTGACGGAGAACGCCTACGAAAACCGAATGCTCAGGGCTCAGGACGAAAAGAGAAACTCTCTCAAGCACTTGCCGCAGGAACGGACACCACGGCGTCGCCTGCCCAAGACGCCTAGTGAAACGCCAGCGGGAGAGATTCCACGACCAAAGTTCTACATAGCTTAGCTTTATCTATTCGATCAAGCAATGTGATATGAGTTTTCTTTCTGACTCAAGCAGCATTCAGACTTTGCGATGATGCGCTTCGACGCACCGTCGATTTCTGTCTGCGTCTATGGCTTTTGGAGCGCTGTTGCCATTGTGGCGCGTCGACGCGCGTCACAGCGCATCACAGCGCGCCACAGCGCGTCGAGGCGCGTCATCGCGAAGTCTGAACGCTGTCTCAGCGCCCAATAAGTCCTCCTCCTCAGACGCAATATGTGGCCTTTGCATGAGATCATTACACATGTGGTAAGACACGATGATGATGTATCCTATATTTTGAATAATCTGCTCATCTCGGTGCTAAGATTGGCGGCATATACAAGTTGGCCTTGACTCGTGACAGAGCGGTGAGAAGCAGATCAGATCCAAAAGACATTGTGTTTTTTTTTCGGTCGTACCCGCCTGCCGTTCGCGCCTACAGCATTGGAGCACGTTGGTAATCGTAGCCCTCGACGCAAAGCCTCTACGCTGCCTTGAACTGCTAACGATCACATTCGGCAGCTGCAACAGTTCGATGACCAGCGGTGGAGCGCGGTCAGTCGCAGTCGCGCTCGAGTCGCGAAGTATGAACGTAGCCTTACGGATCTGATTCGCTTCACGTCTTTTCTGGAAGGGAGCTAGGTCAACGCTATTTCTGTTTAGCTTCGAAGAGCTTGTTTCCTCTAAGATCCATTATTTCAAAATTTATGCCTTATGCTCATATGAAATTCTTTTTGAATGCTGGCTGAGAAAACTGACGCTCAATATGCTCTTCACGAGTGATTTGCCTTTGAGTTGCAAACGTACACGACCAAATTCTGCTCTCTTTGTGTGATTTTTTTATGCAGTTGCTGCTGAAGACTAGTCAATGTCCGCGAAATGTAACAGTGACGCGCGCTGTTGTCGCTGCTGCGGACATTCTCTAGTATTTTACGGCAACTGCAATTTTTGCCGGCGATTGCGAAACAATAATCATTCCTTTTGCATTTGTTGTTGCCTCAGCACTTTCTAGCAAATAATCTCAAAATTCGCACTTATCGGGTCTGCTTTTGTGTCACATTATAATTAACAGTGAATAGTTCTGTGATTATAAGGCTTATGAATATTATCAGAAAGCTTCTGCCTTTTTTGTAAACTGTACCAGCTGAAGTTGGGGCAAGGACCGTGGGTAGTGAGTCCCGGCAGCAATCGTTCAAAGATTCCTAAGCCAGCGTTCAGACTTTCCGATGACGTGCGTCAACGCACGCGACGTATGAACGCTGCCTCGTCACAACAGCCTAACATCAGAAGGCACAGTTTA